GCCCCGAGCGGGCCTCGCAGGAATGCTGTCCACCCGTGGGCCAGACCCCTCTCCCCCAAGTTTCCTGCAGCCCCCTGGGGGCTCTTGGGCCCCCAGCCCTGCCCACCTGGGGGCCGAGCGCGGCCTTGCAAGCCATGGGCCTCAGCGGGCCCTGTGCCCGCCGTCTGGCTCTGGCTCACCCCTGCGGTCGGGGTGCCGTGACCCCCACGGGGAGGGCGTCCTGGTCGGACCCTCGCTCACCACTCAGGTCTCTGAGGCATCTCCAGCCCGTCTGATGGACTGGGGTCGCTGGGTCCCGCGTCACTGCTCTGGACACGTGTCTGAAGGGGCAGGGTGTGCACCCGTGTGGCCTCCGGGGCCTGGCGTGACGCGCCAGGCCAGGTCAGTCCCGGCTTCTCCGCTCAGCCGCTTCCCGAGCCCCCTGGCTGCGTGCGCCCGGCCCTGACTGCTTCCTCTGTGGTTGGAGCTATTTTCAGCTTGCTTGGCCTTGCTGGGAAAGGTGGGGTGTCCCCAAACTTCCCTAATGCCTCCCGCTCCTGCCTGCCCTGGCCACCTGCAGCCCTCCCTCCAAGCCCTGTCCCTGCAAGCCCACCCCTCCGCGTCCCTGTCCACCTACCAGAACCTCCCTTCCCACTCGCCTGGTCACTGGAACCGTGTGGGCCCTTCGCTCTGTGGGGACTCGGGGGCCCCGGAGAGCACCCGATGCTGGGGAGAGAGAGAAGCCGGAACCTGAGGCTTTGCTGCTGTCTGGACAGCTGCGAGCATCTCAACCACGCGCCTGAGACTTAATCCGTAAGATTAGGGATCAGGGCAAAAGGAAGTTCTAGAAACCTCCACGTAACCTTAACTTGTGCCAAGTTCCAGAAACAATTAGAGAGGAATCGGGCGTGGGGCTGCTGGTTCGCGTCGGGGCGCCTTCCGGGCTCAGGCTGCCAGTGGAGAGCCACGGCAGCCCACGGGTGTCCGTGGGCCGTGTCCCCGCCCACGTGTGTGCACGTGTCGGACCCGGGGCCTTTTCAGGTTCACGTGATGGGCTCAGCGCCGAGAAGCCTGAGCGGCTCAGTATCAGTCCAGTGTATTGAGACAGCTGTGTCTCCGCGTTATCAACGCAGACTACACGCATGTGCGTTTCAACTGCGTTTACTAATCAAATAAGGTAAAAAACGTTACCAGGAGGTGATTTGAGATAATGGGCATTTTCCATTCATACAGCTACTTTCCTATTGAGTGGCACTGCCCACAGTGGCGCATCTGCCCCAGGGGAGCGAGTCCCCACTCTGCAGACACCGTCAGCCCCGAGCACCCACCTCCCCTGAAAGCCCCCCGCCGCCCCTCTGGTTCTCAGGCAGCCAGCCAGGCTTCCTCGGGGTCTGGGCGTCTGCACCTCCGTTCCGCCGTACTCCCCGTGTCCGTCACCCGCTGGCTCTTCCACGGGGCATCGGCCGCCAGCCCCAGCCCTGTCGTCGCGGCGGCGAGGCCATCTTTCTTAGAGCTGAACAGTACCCCGCCTGCCTCTCTGTCACACACGCATCTGCGGCTGGGCTCTCAGGCCGCTTCTGTCACTGGGCTCTTGCCACTCGTGCTGTGGCGGGCGTTGCGTCCTGATCCGTGGACCTGCTGGCAGATTGTGGGGGCCTGGGGTGCCCCCAAAACTGCCCATCGAGGGGTGTGCTGACTGCTACATTCGCCCGAATGTAGGAGACTCGGAGACACGAGGGAATCAATGAAGCAGGTCTGGAGTCCGGAGTCTGTTTGTTAGGACCGCCCATGGGTATAGATGGGGTCTGTAGGTGCAGGGAAAAACAGGAAACGTGCCCAGGAAATGTGCCCGGCGCAGGGCTGGGGTGCATGTTTGTGCCGGACCTGGGGCTTCTTGTAGCTTCTGCTTGAAACAAAGTCGTGGGCTGCAGCTGTCTGCAGGACAGAGCGCGCTGTGCTCTGCTGGCTTCGCTGGCCGTACCGGGCAGGGCGCTCACCCGTGCGCAGCATCAGCCAGGGCGGACAGGTGCCCTCGAGGTCCTGCACAGTTAGCCACAGCTTAACAGTATCCCGCCTGCCTCTCTGTCACACACGCATCTGCGGCTGGGCTCTCAGGCCGCTTCTGTCACTGGGCTCTTATCACTCGTGCTGTGGAGGCATTTGCGTCTGGTCCGTGGACCTGCTGGAAGTTGGAGGGCAGATTGTGGGGGCCTGGGGTGCCCCCAAAACTGGACACGTCGGTTTGTGCGTATGCTGGTTCTCTGCAGACCGTCTTCACGGCCATCGCTGGGCACATGGGAGCCTGTGACCTTCCTCACAGTCCAGGCTGAGTGTCAAGGTCTGGATGGCGTGTCCACCGGCGGGAAGCCCAGCCGGACGCAGCCCGCACCAGCTCAGGTGGACACTGCGGTCTTCCTGTGCTCGAGCGCGTCCTGAGGGCAAGTGCCGCCGTGCACACCGGCAGGGGCGGCAGACCAGAGGCAGGGCTACCGGCCGCCGCGGGCCGCCCACGCTCGTCTCGCCGGGCCCACCCACTGCGCTGGGAGACGCGGCCCCAAGTTCACCTTGGCTGGTGCCAGGGCCTGCAGCTCACCCCTTGCCCGGGCAGGGCGTGTGACTTTCGCTACCGGGTGGAGAACTCGCACTCTAAGCCACAGCCCGTAAACGCCCCGGAGGTGCGGGGCCCTGTGAGTGGGGCGTGGAGGCCCCGTGTGAGCGTGGGGGCGGGAGGCCTTCGCTGGCCTGCTGCCGGGACAGTGCGGCTTTCCACTCGCACCTGCAGCCCGGACAGTTGCACCTGGCTGCCGACCCTGAAGTCTGTTTCCCCTTTCAAAGTCATGTATTGCAGGAGAAATGGGGGTGCCGCTGCCGCCAGACGCCCCGGCTTTAAGCGTAGGTGGGAAAGGAAGCGGTGTCAGGTCAGAGGAGCTAACCCTGAAATCCTGTTTCAACTGGGATCCTGCTGTGCGAACGGGCTTCTGTGCACACAAAGTCCCGGCCAGAAAAACGCCAGAGCGGCCACTGTCCCGTGCTCAGCGTGGGGTGTCCGGACGCCATTTCCACATGGGGGGGGGCTGGCTGTGTGGCACCACAGGACCTTTCTGCGGGGCCTCCCAGCAACCCCAGTGGAGCCAGGGCAGGGGCTGAGGCAGGCACGCCCCTGGAGCTAGTGGGGAGTCGCAAATCCGTTCTCCGTGGGGCCAGAACTTGAGATGGGGTGGCGGGAGGGGTTGGCTAGGATGGGTGTGGGAAGGGGGGTCCCCACCCCTTCACTTCTCAGACTCTCAGGGGGACCCAAGGGCTCGGGAGATGGGGCCAGACCCCGGCGGCGCCTGGGTGAGGGCAAGTGGGAAGAACCCGCAGCCCCCGGCCAGGGCACGGGGGGGTCACTCCCCTCAGGGAGGCTGCTTCGGGGCCAGCTGCAGGGAGGGCCTGGGGCAGGCCACCTGGCCAGCTGCTCCTCCACAAGGCGTGGGAACTGGACCCTCGGGCTGACCCACAGGGTGGGACTGGCCGGCAGGGTCCCACGCGGGCCTTCCTGGGGCCGTTTCATGCGCAGGGCTGAGGGGTGGCGTGGGCAGGGGCCGGGCCTGCAGGCCCAGGTGCGGCGGCGAGTACGACCAGGCTGCCGAGCGCTTGCGGGAGCCCCGGCCCGGAGCCACCAGGAAGCTGTGCTGCCCGGTGCGCCAGGCGCTGCGGTGGGCTGTTTCCTGGGCCCCGGTGCGCACCCCTGGGGCAGAAGGGGCGGGCTCGAGGCCACAGGGCCTCCCCTTGCGCCCCACCTGGAGAGGGGCCTCAGGCCTTTGTGTAGGGTCCGGCACCCCCCCCCGGCACAGCGGGGGCCCCGAGTGAGGCCCACGACTCCCGGGAAAGCACATTTAATAAGCACGACTCGGCCGGCCTGGCCTGGTGGGCTGCAGCCCAGCCAGTCTCTGGCCCCCGACCAGGCCGGGTCCCCACGCCACGCCTGCAGAGGGGGAGCAGTCTCAGCCAGAGGGAGGCGCTGGGGTGCCTGACCGCGGAGGCGGCCGGGCCCAGCTCTCCCAAGGGCCTCCGAGCGCCATCCGGCGAGTGGGGTGGCACAGGGCGCCCTGGTGTGCCAGCTCCTTCGACAGGCCAGGGCTGCGGGGCCAGGGAGGCCCAGCGCGTCCGTCACACGTAGTCCAGAATCTCCGTCTCCATCTCGTTCTCGCTTCCGTCTGACGGCTTGAAGTCCTCCTCCTCTTCATCCTCCTCCTCCTCCCCAGACTCGGACGTCAGCTGTTCCTTCCCGCTGTCGGCTTTGGTTGGGCTGGAGAAGAGAGCTGGGGGGACAGGCGGGAGTCACCCCCAAAGGGAGCCCGCGGCAGCCACGGCTGCAGGCTGAGCCGCAGGGGGCTCCTGGGGCAGGACGGGCACGGGGCCTGCTGGCAGCTGCCGGCGTCTGCCGGGAGCCGCCACGCCGGTGACGGCCTGGGGAGCAGCTGGCGGCGGGGGCGCGGCTGTCCCCGTCCCCAAGCCGGGAGCCCGGTCAGGCCCGGCGGGGGAGGGGCGCGCAGGGGAGGGCCAGCTCTCACCGGGCCTCTTGGAGCGGATGGTCTGCCGGATCATGAGGGACATGGCGTCCCGCAGGTCGTCGCTGGTCTTGGGCAGGCACCAGCCGTCGCGCTCGCTGCAGGCGCGCTCGGCCCCGTCGTTGCGGTGCACGATCTTCTGCAACCTGGGCGGGGCCAAGTCCGGGCTGGGGTCCTGGGTGCCAGTGGGGCTGGGAGCGGCCGGGGGCCGGCCGGGGAGGAGCAGAGCGCGCGGCTGGCGAGGGAGCTGGCAGCGCGCGGCCTTGCGGCTGGGCTTGAGGCGCGCCCCACGCCCCGCTTTGTCGCCGCCACTCAGCAGTGGACTTGAGGATCTGGGAGTCAGGCTGGCTCCCGATGCCTGTGAGCGGCCGACACCCCCAAGGGGCAGGGCTGGGGCGCAGCCTCGGGGCACCAAGCCTGAGCCCACCCCAAGCCCGACGGGTCCTTCTCCCCAGGGGCCGTGAGAGCTGCTGTAGGCACACAGGAGAGCCGGGGAGCCCGCCCTGCGCCCCGCGCCCCGTCCCGCGCCCGCGCTCACTCGTCCACGTTCAGGTCGCACAGCTGATAGAACATCTGTCGGTACGGCGGCAAGGCCCCCTCCCGGAAGATGTAGACGGAGTCCTGGGGGAGGCGGGAGGCGGAGCTGCGGCCGGCGGGGTCAGGCGCTCCGGGCCACGTGCAGGCCTCCGGGAAGCAGCCCGGCCAGCGCTCGGCCTGGACACAGCGGCCGACCGGGTGACAGCCCGGGGCCTAGGCGGCCCCACCAGGCGCTGCCCGGTCTCCCTGCCCACCTCTGGGACCGAGGCCCACAGGCTGGCTCACCACAGCCATGCCCACCCCCCACCAGGTGCCCGGGCACGCCGGCCCCACCTCCCAGCCAGCAGGAGATGGTGTGGGCACTCGGCCCGGGCGCACCGCCCTCTCCCGCAGGCCCGTGCTGAGCCACCCCAGGGGAGGCGGCCGACTCCCGCGGTGAGCACTGGGCCTCGGGAAGGACCTCCCGCCGCTGCAGACGGGGCTGTGGGCCCCGACTGTCCCCCGGCCGCCCTCCGGCCGGGCAGAAGTGCCTGGCACGGCCCAGGCCCGCATGGCACGTCGGAGCCCGCGGCGCTCCGGCCCACCTTGAGCTTGTACTTGCTGGAGGCCGACTTCCGCGCGCCGGCCGTCCCCGACGGGCCGAGGCCCTGCTTCAGGTCATGCATGGTGACGGGCTGGCTGGCTGCGGGCGCGACAGCAGCGCTGAGACGGGGCGGCCGCCCCCCACTGGCCTGCGCCCCCGCCCGTCCGGAGCCCGTCGCGCCCCCGCGGCCAGTGGGGGGCACTCACGGGTCTTCTTGACGGTGATGGGGAGGCTGTAGTTGTAGGTGCTGCGCTTGGCCTTGACGGGCATGTCGCTGGGGGCGTAGCCTGCAGACCAGGGGCGCGTCAGGCAGGGCCACCCGCCCCCCGTCAGTGCCGGCTCTGCGCCACGGGGCAGGCCCGGGCAGCCCCAGAGAGGGGGCACTGGCCACTCGGGGCGCGGGCAGTGGCCTGGGGCCAGCGCTGTGCGTCCGCACGGCCTGGGTGCCCGTGGCCCGGGAGCGTGAGGGGCCGTGGCCCGCAGGCCCTCGCTTCGGCGCAGTCCGGCCCACAGCGCTCCCGGGGGAGAGGCCCCGTCTGTCCACTGACAGGCCGAGACGTGGCGACGGGAGAGGAGGGCGGGCGCAGGGTCGCGGTCATCTTTACCGTATTTCATTCCGCAGCGGATTCGGAAATCGAGCACCTGGTAGATCTTGGCTTCCGGGTGTTTCCGGGGGTCGTACCCGTACCGGATCCACAGGCTTCTCCAGGGGCCTGTGATCTGGGAACCGTGGGAGAACGCGGTGGCCAGTGCCCTCCCTCGGCCCCCAGGAAGAACGCCAGCGCCGGGGCAGAGTCCCGGCCCGACCAGGGACCCCAGCTCTGCCTGTGCGCCGGCGCCGGGGCTTCCGTCTGATGGAGTGACCGGGCCCCCACGGCCGAGAGGGCCGAGACGGCCTTTGCCGCTGTCCTGGCCCCACAGGCGCTGGCAGGGCCTCAGGGCGAGAGGCCAAGCTGGGAGGCCACGGCGCCCTCTGGGGTCTGGCCTCGAGGACAGGGGCCGGGCCGTTCCCGTACCCGCCACGCGTCCTGTCTCACGCTGGCCTCCCCTGTGGCTCACCAGGGGCCGGGGGCAGGCAGAACCCCCTCATCCTGGCGCCAAGGAGGACGCTGGAGGTGACGGCCCACGCGACACGGGAGCCTGAGTCGAGGCAGCGCGGGTGGGTCAGGGGCTCCGTGGCCAAACAGGTCCGTCCCCAGGGACCCCGAGGCTGCTCCTCACAGGCAGGAGCCCCTCCAGGGAGGACCGGGAACGGGAACCTGGTGACCGGGCCTTAAAACATTCTGGACAGGAGGTCAGCTAAAACGTGCAGTCCCTTCCGAGAGAGGAAAATAACTGCTCCTCAACCCTGAAGCTGCCCAAATCTGGCCGCCAGCAGGGCCCTGCAGCGGCTGTGGGCGGGCACCGGCTCGCTGGGTCTCTGAGAGCGGGCATCGGGCCAGGACGACCGGGGGCACCTGAGCCGGGCAGACACTCACCATGTAATAAGCCACGAAGGGCAGCAGGACCTTGAGCTTGTCAGGGTGGACGCTGAGGTTGGCCTTGACGGCGTTGCGTGACCAGATGGGGCGGATGTCAAACAGCTGCGGGCAAGGCAGGGGCGCCGTGGGCCGGGCGGCTCCACCCACCCCGG